GACAATAATTTTGCCAACTCTGAAAGTTCAACTGGATCAAATCATTCTAAACCTGGTTCAGAGATCCCTCACCTTCCAGAGATAAACCAATCTTAGAGTGCTAGTAATCTTATTTTTAAAGAATCCCATAAAATCAATCCTGCTAAGAGCAGGTGAAAGGAAGGTTTAACAGAGCTATGGCTCTGGGTGAGTTTGGCAACTGTAATATCTCGGATTATTCGTATTCTCTATTACTGAGGAGAAAAATGCTCCTCTTGCTTTATAAAGGGTCCTCTTATAAAGCAGTAAACTATTTTTCCAGACAAGGTAGGATTCCTGTAGGCCTGTGGAGCGTTCTAATAGATTGGACCCGTTGACATCAAATGTCTTCATACAGTTTAGAAGCCACACTCGTTAGACCTGAACTTGGAAATTCTGGTTCCAGTAGCTTATAGGGTACAAATAGTTAAAGCAGATGCCATTAAAGATAACATAAAAAAATTAAAAAAGAGCAAATAAAGGGTAGTTCTTTTAGAGCAGATATCCTAAGGACATGTCTGTACTGTAAAAGAAACAGTTTATCATTGAAGTATTAGCAGGGATTTTCTTCCATTATCTCCTCAATTTATGCTTTCACCCCATTTTTATTTCATTTATAGGCATTTTTCCAATTCTTTTCATTTCACCGAAAACTATTGTCAAAGGCTAAATATTTCTCATATAGGCATCCCCACCCTGCCCCCGTCACATTTTCCTGAAAATTTAAATGTTTTGCCCAGCTCAAACATTTAACATTTTCTGTAATAACACCGATAAACTTGTTTTCATAATATGAAAGTTATGCTTGTTGCTTTAAAAAGCGACAAGAATAGGACAAATATGGAAGCATCAATCAGAAGTATCAATAAAGTATTTATTTAAAAAAAAAAGACAGACATGACAGGGGTGATAAAAGCTCAGCTTGGTTCAGGTTGATGCAGGACTTCTGAGATGGTATGTGCAGCCATGAAACAGTCAACAAGTTTCCCACTTTCCTCTAAAACAGCTCAACCCCCCCCCCCTGCAGGAAGGGACTATGGAGACAAAAGCCAAACTGGAGACAATTCACAAAACGGCAAGCACTTAAACATGCAGCAACTCATGCAACAAAATAAAAGACAAACATTTATGGACGTATAAAGAAATGCAACCGTCCCTTACAAAGAAATACTTTAGCATCAAAATAATTTAACAAACTCAAAAGACACACTCTTTGGCTTCGGACGATAAAACGACTGCACTCAGACATCTGAACCAGTACAAACCAGCAGTAACCGTCCGTTTCTCCAGTTAACAACTGGCCTCCCAGTAGGATCTACCATCTTCATGATGAGCATCAGGAAAGCTGCCAGAAACCGTCACACATTTCAACACATTTTACAGGGAAGCTGTAAAACGCCCAGAGGTACAGCTCCCCCACCAAAGTCGGCCATTTTCACCCCGTCTTACACACAAAATAATTCATTCAGCTTAAAAGATAGTTTTAATATACAAACTGTGCTGGGACTGCCTCCCAGTTACCAGACAGACAAAAGACCAGCTTCAGTTACTCTTCATCACCCATTTAACTCATATTCTGAACATTTAAGACAGACAACATTCAAAGACCATTCAACTCGTGGCCATCTTGGTAAATTTCCACATCTGAGGGCTTAAAGCAAACAGCAACGCTGAGATCAGGTAAAAACAGGACGAATTCCCCCTGATGGCCCGAGGCCAACGGGCACAGAAACGCTTTGAGGCTCAGAGCAGTTCATCATTTTCCATCAGCACTAAAACGTATTCAGGAAGGGCTACTCAGAAACACTTCCTGAAGACGATCTGCGGTCCGTGCTCGTCGTACTCGGCCTGGCTGATCCAAGCAGAGCTGAAAGTGGACAGATTGGCCAGAACCGCCCCGCCGCTCCACACCAGGAAGTCTCTGTCTTTGGGGCTGGTGACGCGAACGGCCGCCCTCATGTCCTGTGGCAGCAGGTTCTTCACCTCGGCCTGGAGCCGCTCAGGCAGGCCTGGCAGCAGAGTGTTCCCACCTGCAGTCACATTTATCCCATTAAATGGTGGAGAGAGACTGCAGAGGACACAGGCTTCATTTTGCTGTGAAAATGGATACCTGAAAGAACGATGTTTGACAGGAAGGAGCGGCGCAGGTCGATGTCTGACCTGAGGACGGACTTAAAGACGCTCTCATGCATTCCATAATGATCCCGTCCAATCACCTCCGGTTTAAACAGGATCTCAGGAGCCCTGCGAGGAAACCAGCTCAATCACCAGATTGTTCTTTAGGGAAAAAACTTTACGCCCTAAAGAGGGGCCGGAAAGGTTCAAGTCAGGCCGCCCGGCCGGGCCTCCGTCAGCGAGGCCGCCGGGCCGGGCCTCAGTCAGCGAGGCCGCCGGGCCGGGCCTCAGTCAGCGAGGCCGCCAGATTGTTTCCTTTAAATAGTTTAACATTTTAGTAGCATATTCACTCAGTTTAGGTCTGGTTGCCATGGAGTTATAAGGCAATTATGGAGGCTCTCTCTGTATTTTTTTTTTATATCAAACCCTGTGAATGTAAATCTACTTTGACCCCTGAGCAGCAGTGACCATGGGATAAATGATCAGAAATAAAGCAGAAATGACCAAAGTAGGAAGAAGAATGATTTGTTCTTCACTTCTTTGGAGTAAAGAAGACTCCAGACCTCCTGCACAAAGCAAAGCCTACAGCCTCGGCTGTTCCTCCCATCTTGCTCCTTTTCTGACTCCTCAGAGCTCGAGGAGAGCATGAATGGTACTAATATTATTGTTATATTCATAGGAGCAAAACATGCAGAGATGAACGTTTAATTTAATATGACATATTGAAAACATCCCCATCAGCATCCAGCATATTTGCAGTTTCTGCCCTAATATTTTCTTTTTGTTGAGATTTCTCTAACAGGGATAACTAGGATCATATTAATTGGTTTTTATGAACCATGTTTGTTCTCCTCTTCCAAACTCAGCATCTCTTCATCCAGGCCTGAGATCAGAAATCTTTTGATGGTGATGAAGTACCGATTGTTTGCATCCAATCATCAATTAAACGGTCCCAGAGCATAATTCTTCTATATTCCCAAATAATAATTGTAGTTACCCATCTGTCGTTATATTTTTATTTGACAAACCAGATCTTTGATGTTCCTTTTCCTGTTTGGTGTGATTGCAGTTGTAGATCTTGACCTGGCTGGAGCGGAGCTAAAAATAGCTCGCCTCCGTATTTTGACGGCAAAGACGTAGATGGACGGTGACTCCGCATGACATACGTGAGCGGGGCGGAGCGCTGACAGAGGATGTGGAATCTGGGCTCTGAACAACAAGGATCCAAACAGAGCTGAGTTTTAACAATGGGCTTCATGCAAGAAGCTTTTGTACAAATAGATTTGTTCTTAAATCTTTTTAAGAGTGATTTAGGAGAAAAGGACACATTCACTATTTTTCTCCTATTTCTAATCCCTCAGGTTTTTATGAGTGCTGATCTTTGAGTTCTAGTATCAGTTATATTTGATTAGATTTACCTTTTTTTAATCCTAGATTTTTTATGTTTTCTTAGTAAGACCTGCCGAGTTTCTGCAGACATTCTGACTCAGAGGTGTTGATGATGAGGGGATCGTTACCTGAACCTTTCTGTGCCGAGGGTGATGATCTGGCCATCTGGTAAGGTGTAAAGCATTTCTCTGCAGGATGACCTCTCTGGGTTCATGTCGGCTTCATAGTCTAATGCAACACAGCAGCATCTCTCCTTCATCTCCCTTACAATCTCCTCCTCTGCAGTCGTTCGCATGGAGACGCCCTGTTCCTGCAGGAGCTTGAAGAAGAAGCCAGAAGGAAGTTAAAAAAAAGGAAATGATAAATTCAAATGATAAATCTAAACAAGCGTCAGCTAATGTTTATACTCAGTAAGTTTTTCAGTCAGTAGTTTACATCGCAATCTACTGATGGACCAATAATCTGTTTCTTTACCAGACATTTTACACAGTTCTCAGCACTTCTACCAAAGTACCAGAGGATTGTTCTTTGCCACGACTCTACATGATGACTGAATATTAAACGGTTCTTTGAGCACACAGGGAGTTAAATAAGAGCAACATGAGCTCTCTGCATCCTCTAACATTCCAATGCTTTCAATCACAGGGGAGATCCTAAAGGAGCTGCAGTAATTCATTCTCTACCATCTTGTTTTAGGCTCCTGTCACACCGTGCTGATTTATCCAGCATCTGCCTGACGTCCCAGAATCTCCTAAAACGCTGCCATACGCTGAACTTTCTATGGATTTTTTCTATTTTGGGCGTAAACATGGAGTATTCAATGAAAGATGCACAAGCCAGTATCCTGAGGGGGGCAGCGATGCTCCCGGAGACGCCCGGCCAGAAGAAAAAGATTTCTATGATTGTGGTATTAACCTAGTTGCTGTTTGCTGACACCAAAAACTTTATTTTTCTTAATTTATTTTGGCAGGCAGTAGATTCAGCATCATGTCTGCTAGGAAGTGTGTTGGTGGTGGGCGTGAACGCAGGGAGGATCCATCACCCTCACCTTCTGGCTCACCCTATGATGGGGATGAAGTCTGGAGGAGAACTGACGGTTTCCTCCTGTGAACCCCCTTTATACCAAAACGCTGCCAATACGCCATTATACAGTAGCTGGAAGTTAGAAACACGTTCAGCGCTCGTCTGGAACACGGCAGATACCTTGATATGCTTGGAGAGAAGTTCTGGATAAGTTACTCAGAGGTTTAGGATAAGCTGGAGTTTTCAGCGTGTGCCAGCGTGCTTCAGCCAACTCATAAGTTAAACAAAACATATCCATAACTTATCCAACGCATGTCAGGCATATGCTGGTCTAAACCATCACAGTGTTACAGGGGCTTTACCTGCAGTGGGATCTCAGGTTTACATGTTATCTATCCATCAGCATTACACCTAACAATCAAATTTCATTCAACTGAAAAAGAAAAAATCTGATTGTCTCAGGATGAAGAGCAGGTGTTGCAAACCTTTTTCAGCTGTGCTGTAACATCGCAGCCAGCCAAAGGGAAGCGCTGGATAGCGTGAGGAAGACCGTAGCCCTCAAAGACAGGCACGCTGTGACTCACTCCTTCTCCAGAGTCAAACACCACACCTAGAAAAGGTCAAGTTAGAGGAGGTCACGCTGGAAGGCTGTGCAGGCTGACGGCAGAGAGCGGGTAAATGACTGCAGTACCAGTGGTTCTCCCTGCTGCGTACAGGGCCAGCACAGCCTGCATGGCTACGTAGGCAAACGGAACACCAAAGCGCTCAAACATGATCTCCACCATGCGCTGCCGGTTGTCCAGCGGGTTCATGGCTGCCTCCGTCAGCAGAACAGGGTGGTCTTCAGGATCCACACACAGCTGCTGGAAGGTGTAGTGCCAGATCTGAAAGAATAGCAGAGGTCAGCTGCTGGGACTGGGCCCCAAATGACACCAGCGTCAATTCATACAATATTACACTTTCTATCATCAAACATTTAAACTGATCTTTATTTAGCAACAATAGGACAGAAGGCTGTACCATGTGGAAAAGTATAACGGGCACATAAATATCCCACCCACTGGATGGTCTCTATCCTATAGCTCTGCACAGCATTCACAGCAGCAGCACCACAGAGAACAATGAAGGTGCAGAAATGATGCCTTGCAGTATTCACTAACATCTCCGACCATTTGCTACAGAGTCCACCTGCCTGAGAACTGCCACCGTCCTCCCAGTGAACAAGTCTTCAGCTAGTCTGAAAGACACCAGGTCAGTGAGGATGAGTCCAGGGGAGATTCAAGGCCTGCATTCCTCCACAGTCGACTCCAGCAGCCTAAAGCCCCATTTCCACCACCCTATTAAGCCGTGCTGAGATCGGTCCGAGCACGGTAACCAAGGTAACTGCTGAGAGTAAATGGCACTAACACCTGAACCGCTCTAAACTGGTACTGGTTCATCAGTAGGGTTCAGCGTGGTTCAGTTCTGGCTCGGTTCTCTGATAGCAAAGAGCGCATGAGCAGAACACCTCATCTCCTTACAGTCAGCCTCCGTAATCAGGAAACTTCAGACATTCATAACAATCCCAGCTCTTCTACAGTGTCACACGATTTCCAGTGATGATTCTGCATAGCAATGTGATGAACCTCAACTTCTGTTGTTTCCTGCGTCTGTAAGCCCTGATTAGACTATTGTTTTTTCTAATCAGCACTTCCAAAAAAACCTACACAAAAGGCTGCCTTCTTCTCCCGACTCTCCACAAACTTCCTGAATGTTACGGCCGCAGCTATGTTGGTTTGCGTGTTTCTCCTCGAGAGATCAGTAGTAGAGTAGATCGCCACTAGGAGGCTAAGAACCATGCTAGCGTGGTGTGTAAACAATCTGAAGCAACTGAGCTCAGCACGGATCAGTTTTAGGAGGGCTTATGAGGAGGGATCAGCACAACAGGATGGGCCCCCTCCACCATCATCCTCAGTACTGGTGTCCCACAGTTCTGGGCCCAGTCTTGTTCACCACACAGAGCACAATGGTACAGCTCTACTAACTAGGTCAACAGTCCCCATCAGTGCCATCAGTGTTCTCTGGCCTTCAGTCTATTTCAAACCAACTGGTTAGTTTTCATTGTTTAGGTTCAGTTCCTGATCTCCTCCTCAAGGCTGTGAGCATCCAGCTTCTTAAACCAACCATAGTGCTGCTTGGAAAGACCTGGTCAAGGTCTGAGTTAAAATGCAGTAGCATGAGCATTAACAGGCTTTTCAACTGGGGAAAAAAATCCTTCCAATGTGGTGGAAAGCAAAGTGGACTAAAGTCCTTTACAGTGATGTGAAAACTGGCTGCAGGCTTTCAGACCTTTGTGATCATCTACTCGTATTTTCCCAGCAGCGTTTCCATGGCACCTTACCTTTTCCATATCATCCCAGTTGCAAATGATCCCATTGCGAATGGGATGCCTCAGAGTCAGAACCCCCCGCATGTGTTGAGCATCATGGCCGATGTAGGTCTCCCTCTCCAGGGTCCCATTCATTATTTCCTGGAAATAAAAAAATAAAAAATATTAATAGCAAAGCAAGATTTCTTTAAAGTCTGAGTAGATTTAGTCCATTGTCCAATTATAGCTAGGAGAGAAACAGGACTACACACTGAAAGACAGGCTGATCTCTAACATCTATAACCAAAGGTGTCAATGGCAGCAGCAGCGTAGCGGATATTTCTCTCCAGGATGGTTTCTTAGCTAAACTGATCAGATCAGCATCAATCAATACTCACAGCTGTTACTGGTGTAAAAACCATCCCTACTGGCTAGTGCAATGGAAAATACAGCATTTATCAAGACTGTAGATTTTAAATATAGAACACCTGAAAGGGGGAAAAAAACAACAACTCCTAAATGTAACCAAAGAGAGAAAGCAGAGAGGTCTGACCTCATATTTTGGCACTCCAGTTATTGTTGGGAACTTGATGTTTGGCTGGTCTTGATCTGAAAATCCTGCCTTCATCAAACCAGATCCTACATCCAGGATGACGGGGATCTTGAAATCAGCGATCTACGGCATAAAAAGAAAAAAGAAATGCTGGATACCAGAAAATATCAGTTTTCTGTAAAGAGATCATTTCAAACTAAGGTTCTAAAGAATGTTTAATGTCGGCAATATTCACAGGCACATCCCAAATGAGAGAAATGCTGATTTTACGTTCCTGGAGGACATAAACCAACAGTGAAGGAAGCAACGATGCCCAATGAACCAGGAGCTGGTTCAGCTGAGCTGATTGGTCAACAAACTGGCTAGAATCTAAAAGAGAACCTGTGGGGTTCTATCAGAAGACTGGACCCAACAAGTCCAATGGTCTGCGATCAAAGCAACCATCACCTCAGCAGCCCCCCCCCATGAAGGCAGTCATTTAGAGAGTGCAGATATAACTGGACATACATCCAGAAGGCAAACATTTCTCTCTAAATGTCAGCCTCCAGGTCATGTTTGTAAAAAGACCGATATTCTGTAATCAAACCTAATTAAGACTCCATTACTGATCAGAAACCATAAAAGCGTAAAGGTGAGTACCTCTGTAAAGCTCTCCGCCCATAGCTGGGTCCTCTGCTCCCCACGGTCCGAGATCCGAACCCCCTCAAAAACCAATTCTTCTGGTCCTCCAGGGTCGAACTCCAGGCGCTGGCTGGGACCCGTTTGGAGCTCTGGTTGGAGGTCTGGCTTCGTTTGCTGCACATCTGTGAGGAGGGGCCCAGTGGAGGAGTCCTCCTCACCGTCAGCCCTTCCAGAAAGGTTCCCGCAGACTGACAGGTTATTATTGTTATTATTAATGTGTTCCGTTATATTTGGGTTGAAAACGTTCTTCCTGTCATCCAAAGTCACCCCCTCCACTAAAACGCCAAGAGCCGCAGGCTCCGCTTCCTCCTCAGGGGTTGGAGGAGGTCCGTCTACAGGAAGGGAGGCTGGTTCTGGCCCAGCGGGTCTCCCTCCTGGATCAAACCCCCCCTCCTGCAGCATCAGTTCAGAGGTTAACAGGCTTTCTGAGCCGACCACTGGAGGAACCACTGGAGATTCACTACTAGAAGCTTTAGTGTCACATAAGAGCAGATTCCTACCAGAGCCACCAACATAAAAACCATGACACTGCAATGACTCCTCTTCATCATCATCATCATCCTCCACCACAGGACCCAGTGACTCATTGCTCCTAGTCTCTGACAGCTCAGTGGGTTCTCCATCGTCTCCGCTCTCCGTCTCAGAGAACCTCCCAGACGCTCCGGTCTCATTCCTCCACTCAGAACTTTCCTTCAAACTCTTCTCAAGCTTCTCCACTTCTCTTTTTTCCCTCTCCAGCTCCAAGCGGAAAGCTTCCCTCTCTGGGTTTGGGGCTGATGGCTGCTGTGAAGTGAACCGCCTCAGATCCTGGAGGTTCAGGTTCTCCTTTCTGCTCGGCGGACCCAGGAGGGGAACGTTCCTCGGCTCTTCCTGCAGCTCCAGCCCGTCTTCAGTGGTTTCTGCTTCAGTGCTGAAATCCTCTTCCTCGTATCTCGTAGACTCTGCGGATACACCCTCGCTGAGCGGGTCGGATCCTCCCAGCATGGGGCCGTCCCCAGAGCTACCAGCATCAAAGGAGGGCTGTGGAAAATGCAGCATTAGAAAATGATTCAGGAAAAACTTAAAGCAACATATCAGCACCATGGTCAGTTCCCAGATTAAACTGAACCAGAACTTTATTCAGGCTACAGACTTCCTATCATTGGATATTTGAGAGATTCATGCATTCTGATTTATCTCCTAAATACCTCCTCCAGCTGCTTCTCACTGTGCCAAAGATGCCAGAGATCTTTTTCATCTCCTGCTCTGAGCAGAGCATCCAGCACAGCTTCTTGAGCCAAAACGTTCTCCTCCTCCTGCAAAACGGGAGACATGCTACCATCATCCGGCTCCCTGGAGGAGAAACATGAACCCAGCAGCTGATCATTTACCTCCAGGATCCCATCAGCCTTGGTTAATATTCTCTCCACCTCTCGGAGGTTTTCCTGCTCCTTCAGCTCCCAGTCCATCGAGGACATATCAGTCACACTGAGAAGAGAAAAATGTTGATGCCAGAAACACTGAAAGAATCTCATCAAGTTAAAAACTCAGTTCATCTCCATTAGTTCTGGTTCCAAGTAGGCAGGGATCCAGTGATGTGCAGGAGATTTTCTGAGCATTCTTAGAAACACGGATCTATATAGTTCAGCTTCTACTGCAAAGCTCTGGGAGAGAATGAAGCAAGTCAGCCGAAGCTCATTTCCAAGGCTTTACTGTAGGACACAAAGTTCCCTGCTAACAGGAGCAGACATTTCTACGGAAGTGGATTGCATTCAAAGAAAAATAAAATAAAAAATAAAACTCTGACAGCTCATCGTAATTACGAGATCAGCATCTCGTAATTACGAGATCTTATTTATACATTCGGTTATGATTACTTGAGTCAGTAATGTAGCATCTCTCAGAAAACTGTTCTTAATGATCACTTAAAAATATCTGCATCTGTTCCACTAATCAGTTCTCTGCACCCAGGTCTGCGTTGGAGCTCCGCTCCCGTTTTTCACCTCATCAATAAAGCACCCAGCTATAACCCTGTGGTTAGCATGCAGCCATATGACCATATGCCAAAACCCATCAACAGCTCCATTAATACAGGATGGTTTTAGTTTGTCATGTGTATCGACATGCTGCGTGAGGTTGGGAGTAGGTCGTTTAAAACGATGCTGGAATCTTAGCTGTACTCCTTGAGCATCTAGGATTTTGAGACGGTACCGGTGGACAGTTGTTTGGGACGCCATCAAGCCAGATGGAACGAATTCCAGAATTATTGATTTATAGCCATAAATCATCCTATGCTGGTTTAATTGCTCCTGCAGGAACCGTGTGACTTCCAGTGAGTCAGAGTAGAGTGTTGTTTTTCACCTGAACCATTCTAAGGACTTACTGCGCAGTGCTGACAAACTAAAACTAATTCCATCTACATTGAGGAAACTCAGCATTTCCCAGTGTCGCAAACCTAAAAAGGAAATAAAAGCATAATAATCCAACAGTGAACTCATTGAGGTTTCATGTAGCGTAGCTCAGCAATGACCGTCCTTTCTGATCTCCTAAACATCACATCTCAAATTATGACATCAACAATTTATAGAGATAATTATGAGATAAGTGGTCAGATTTCTTTTTTCTTTGTGGAATACAATATGATTCTGTAAATTTCTGTACCATGAAGGAATAATAATAAATTTGATCATCCTTTTCCTCTTTTCCTGTCCAGTAAAGCAGATAAATTCTCCCAAGACTAATTATTTTAAGGAATTTATAGGTCAGTTTGTTTGTAAAACTGTGAACACTTTAAAGCTGAGAATATCAAAGCTTCACATTTATGACCAATCATTTTGAAGAGGCCCAGTCAAACACCCTTTCTATGACATTCATGTGCAAATGACCCATTATAAGCCAAGCATTCCTGCTGATAGGGTTTGCTTGGTTCTGTACACCGTCGCCATCTGCTGGCAGCACCAAACCATCAATTTAATACTGTTTGATCTAATCATTGGGAGCTGCCTACATAGAAAGCTA